ACTCGCTAGAGGCCTTTCACAGTAAGCACATTCTGGCGCTGCTTGCTAATGCAACGAATTAGCAGGAAATTTCTATTAATTAGCTGCAGTATATATTAATACGTATTTATGAGGACGGGGCGAGTGGAAGAACGCCCACCGCGCTCAACATGGCCATCGCCGGCGCTAGCTAGCCCGTACTATTGTGACCAGCAAGAAAACGGCGGAGATTAAGTTTGTATGAGCGCGTCGCGTCTGAATCGTAGGCTATTAGCTACATAATGAGGAAATATTAACAAATGCGAACAGGTAGCAAAAACTAGAGAAGTTACTATTCTGTACACCCTGCCAAGTCAAAATTTACAGCAACCATTACCACATAGTCATTTGGTCGACCACGCGGGGAGCCGCCTAAGGAACAAGAGAAGTATGTATTAGATCAATATCTCGCCGTTTGTACCTGAAAGCAACGGAGCTGTCATTACATCTTCCTCTATCAACCCAATCAAGAGAGTGACTTTAGGAGTGTGGTTGATGGTTGGACTCGCACGCCATGTGTCCGCAACCACAATGTGTACTATCGTCTCGCATCTCCAAATGCTCCCCATCGGCAATGTCCATTCTCTTTATTAACGGCATTTGGACAAACACCCTATTTTCATTTCGTAGGGGCTGAATATATTCGTCAGCCATGTCATCGTGCTTCGTGTCAAAATGCGCAGGGGGTGGATGGCTGTTGCTTGAGTAAGCCGAGTCTTGTTCCTCCATGGTAGCCATACGGGATACGTTGTCCGTGTTGCAACTATAACCTTTAATTCTGTTCCTAGGAGACATACTACTTGCTCGATAGAAAGCTCCTTGCCCAAATAGGTTGGACGGCGCGTCATTGTGAAGCCAGGTGGAAGGATCGTTATCGCCAAAAATGGCTACATCCGACAGGTAACTGTTTGTGCTGGTGTATTTATTGCCCGTGTCGGAATCGTTGTCATTGTCGTCGAACAGAATGTAGTCCGTGTAGCCATGAAACCCCAGCGTCTTACTACCATGCTCTATTCTCGAACACTCCGCAGAGACCGCCTCCGCGTCGCCGAAGATGCAACCGTCATTCTTAATTTTTTCAAAACAAGAACCATAAAACGTAGAAAGATGTGTAGGCGCACTCTTATCCGGATATGAGTCCCAAATTTCGACTTCTGCAAAACTGAAAGAAAGTTCCAGTTCATTTCCTAATAGGATTTCCACCAGCTTTGAGTGCAGCTTGACCCATTGGACAGAGGACGGGAATATAATGAAGAGTTGGTACACAAAGAACGGAATTCTCTGTACGTCTTCTCCTAGCAATTCACTACCACATATCATAACCTCTGCCCACTTGTCGCCAACCCAGCGGTCTAGTTCAGGCTTCCAGCGCCTTGGAGGGACCCTCTTTGTGCTTCGGATGTGGCAGAAAACAGCCCTGCCCAGGTAATTTCCATAATTGCCTGTGACGACGTTCAACACACGGCCTATCATCATGAACGTGGAATGGCCGCTATACAGAGGCAGAACTTATGTTTTTAAAATTAGAGGAAGAAGGTTTCATAATGTCAGGTTCGTGCCCTCAAGTCTTCCTTAATTCAATGAGGCACCGGGTGCTTCTTCATCTAGGGGAGTCCAGATATTTGGCCGAAAGAAAGAACAAAAATGTATTAATAAAAACTACATATGAAACAAGATGTAAACTTTGGGGGTGCAATTCAATGTGTCTGTCTTATAAACCCCTTGCCCTTACGCAACCAGCTAGTGAACCCACCTCGTTAAACCGCTTCGTTGCACTACTCATCACCTGGGGCGTTGTCCCACTTGCTATCTGGAGCCACGCCTAAGACTAATAGCTCAACTTACTGGAGAAACTCCTGATGAAGAGTCCCGTAATAGATTTTTGGCCAGTCCGAAGCGTCGAGCCGTGCTTGCCGATCCCACTATGGAATCCACCTGGCCGAGACTCGTGTAAGGCGCCAAGCCGCTTGAATGGCGGCTGCGCCGCCTATCTCCAACCCCCGATACCAAGTTGATTCTGGATCTTTCTGTGGAGGCGTAGTGAGAAGATACAAGCCGCTGTCATAATGCCATAGAGTAAGTATGTAGACTCGTTCTTTCTTCTCTATCTTGATAGAAGACAGCTCAGGTGTAACTGTAACGGGCTGAGCCCGATATGGCTCGGCTTGCACTCTCCCCTTCGGCCCCGGCCCCCGGCCGGGACCCATCCATAAGCGAGATTAACCACGTGTCGGGCTCAGGAGCTCAGGAGCTCCTCGAGCTCTCCTTTTCTTGTTCCCTTTTTCTTTCTTCTTTAGCGTTTAGATACTCGTAGTAGTCGCCTAGCTAGCTGTCAATATACTCACCTTGGACCGTTACAGTAACGGCCTGGGCCAGAGAATGGCTTGGCTGCGCTCTCGCCTCTATCAACAAGCTGCCAATGAAGAGCTCCTGAAGCTTTCCTCTCCTTATTATGTTTCTCCTCTTTCCTTTGCTTTAGATACTCGATTCCAGTCATCCTAGCTAGGTGTCAACACACTGCGTAGTCTTAGAGGTATAGTCAACTGCCTTTGGTTGATGGGAAAGACAATGGACATTGTTAAAAACGTGACATCCGCCCAATGCCCTCACGCAGTCAAGCTGCCAGACGTGGTGTGTTCTCTTCCTTCCGATCACTTCGTCCGTAGTGTGTCAGAGCACGGCCTTCGAGATCTGCTCGAAGTCTACCTAAGAGAGGCCTCCGTGGAAGCCCGTAAGTTACACGGCCAAACTTGATGCGCTCATTTTCCTAGAACCTATACTTACCGACACTGTTCCAATAGTTTTCTTTTCAGCGCAATTTGCGCTTCTTCCATGCCGTCATCTGGCTGGCTAACTTCGTCAAACCATGGATGATGTAGAGCCTGGGAAGTAGTAATTCGCTTTGCGGGGTCATACACGAAGATATTTTTGAGCAAATCCAGGAAATGGATGAAAATCTCAGACCTCGAGGGCATAACAGCCTATAGGGGAATAGTTATAAGATCGTCACTCTACGATTGGCAAGATAGTTGTCGGACCTACTTCAAGTTGTTTCATCGCTTTAATTGCGTCACAGACTCTGGTGTCGTGTCTGGATTAGGATAGTGTTAGATTCTCAGTGACTACAAAATATGAAGGCTGGCCAACCACCTGAATAAATTCAGGTGGTTGGGGAGTAACATAAAAAGGACCCCAATTCTTCAAGTTAAACAAAAAGAGGACAGACCACAATACACCACAATTTTTTATCTCCATAATAGTACCACCGTATTTCTGACAGATAGTCAAGATCGAAGGTTTTGAAAAATCCAAGCGCGTTAGCACAAAAGCGAACCCAAAGTAGATATGCCAATTGCGATGCTATAGTATTGAACCTAGAAAAGTCGCTAATATAGGCTGAGTACAGTCTTGGGGATGGGCAACAAGCAGAATCGTCAACGGAAATACTAAATGTAGGCTTCGATCTAATAAAGGCAATTGCTACACGGGCCTGACTCTTACACGGGCCTGACTTTTTACCGCTTCTGATTCGCCTAAACTTTCGTGACCCACTAGTACTTCTCCCCCAAAGGCGGTGTAGCCAGCTGCACTAACAGCTCCAAAATTACCATCGTTACAGGCCAGTCGCACACCGTGATCTCTCACTCTGGCGAATGTTCGCATTCCAGATCACAGCCTTGTATTGTGAGCCAACACCATCACCAAATCATGTAAAATGTGGTGATATGGTTATAAGATGACACTACGCAATAAACCCTGGTTAATTTATTGCTTCAAAACAATGTAACCTGCATCCTCTCCATCATCCTGGGCCAATTCCCGTTGACTCCTGGTCTTACGAATGTTTAGTTGCATACTTTGACCACTGTAGCGACAGTAGCGTAGACGTATCGTTTTTCCGGCTACGAAAACTTGAGAAAACCCATTTGCCTGTCTCCGGGTTGAGGTGCCAATTGGCTACTGAGCTTGGCAAGGGCCAACTTATTCCGGCTCGCTGCAGACGGTTGATTGTGAGCACCGTTGGTTTAAACTGTCGGGCAAAATCCACTGTAGGGGCTAGACCTCAGTGGACGCGCACTTCTCTAGAGCACTTTGGGCTGATCAGAATCGAAAGACCTGGCGGGAACGTTTATAAGAGAACTGGGAACCCAGGCGAATCTATGAGCGAAGGCCAGGATGGCCGAGCTTGCTTAAAAAGTCCTACCGTGGGGGTCATGGTAGGCGCGACTCGTCGTATAGTTGGGGAATGCAGAAGTTGCTGGGAACCGCTATATTGACAATAATAAATAATCAATGGCCGAGGCCAGCAGGGCCTCGGAAATCCAGGCTGAAGCAGGTTACGCGGTCGTTTTGTCACCTGGGTGGCAAAAAGCAGTCGTAATATTGCTGCCTTGGGGACAGCAGTATTTCAAAGGAATTAAAGATCTGGAGTTTTCTCGGTGGAAGAAGGAAGGGATTCAAGGGAAGACAGAGAACATGAGGGAACACATTTTTATGAATGAATATACAAGATTTGGCAACAGTGTAGGACAACATCCCTCAATGACTACAGCTAATAAACGCATAAAAGCGCGACATAAACTGCATCTTTAGAGATCTCACGATGAAGGCCAGCCAGCGCATGGCCAAGGTACTTACGGTGGAGAGGGCAGAATCCGAAGTATGTTAACAGGAAATCATGCGACCAACCAGAAGTGGTACAAGTCAGGGCCGTGTAAGAGTCAGGCCCGTGTAGCAATTGCCCTAATAAAATATGAATTGTCTGTTGGGTTTTCCTTGGTATCGCTGATACCCTTTGACTCGCAGGCGGGGCAATGTGTCAATGTGATACAGATTATA